CACTTGCTTTGTACTTGGGACAGTGTAATGACAATAAAAGGGGATGATTTAAATGCAGAGGTGAATTTATTCACTGTGTGATCTATAAAGTTCAATTATATACTAAACCCTGGCAAAATGACTGTATGATTAGCAGAGCTGTGAGATAATGTTTTCACTTTTCAAGTGTGAAATGGGATATTTCCACTACTAGCAAAATAAGCATTACTGAATATGTTGGTTTTGGATAGGGCCTTCTTTATTTCTGTAATAAACGCTAGCGTTTATTACAGAAAGGTTTCTGACCAATGAAATGCAGTGACATGCAGTGTTGTGCACGTTACTTTGAAAAAGTAATTAGTTATAGATACTAGTTACTTCTCCAAAAAAGTAACTGAGTAACTGAGTTACTAACTCAGTAAAGTAACTAGTTACTAGTAAAAGTAACTATTGCATTACTTTTGCGTTTCTCGCCCCGTAACCCTCACCAACCAGCCCCCACCTACTTGCCGTGTGTTTCAAAAGCCAGCTTAACGACAAAGACAAGTAACTGCAGAGAGTTTAGCATTTATTTCAAGTCATCGTTAATGACATCAGGGGGAAACGCTATCTGACGGGCCTATAAAACCCCATCAGATAGCGTTACCCCTGCTTAACATGGGGCAACGGTATCTGATGCGGTGTAAATATCATCAGGCTGCATTACCTCTACTCGTGGGTGTGAAGTTTTTTAACAGGGCATTCAGATCTGTTGAGTGTATGAAATGAATAACTGGGGATGTCTAATTCTGAAATCCTGTGTGTTTAGGTTGTTACAGATACTGCAACATCTATCTATCTGTTTGTCTGTCTGTCCGTCCATCCGTCCGTCCGTCCGTCCGTCCGTTCGTCCATCCATCCATCCCGATTTCTCCCTTTCCCCATATAGGCTAACATTTGATTGTTCGCGCTCTCCGTAGTTACCCTGTGGTGTCAGCACAGGGCGGCTGTTACGCACCTTTAGCGAGCATGCGTTTCCTGTCCCTGCGCACAAGTCCTATAATGAAAAAAAGGTTAATTGAGCGACCTGAGTAACGTGCAGTAACGGGGTGTCAGCAATGGTAACTGCGTTACAGTTACAGTCAAAGTAATTAGTTAGATTACTCGTTCCTAAAATAAAAAAGGTAAAGGTGTTAGTAACACCGTTACTCCCATCACTGGTGACATGTAAGATGTAAATAAGAGGTGGAAGGCTGAAGAAAAACAAAAATGGTTGCTCAAGTTTTAGCTGGAATACCCTCTATTTCATCTAGAAAAAAAAGCAAAAGTACGCAGTTTTTGTCTTTCTGGATTGGAAAAAATTTGCTCTCCTTGAAATTCCCTTGGCAAGTGAAGGCCTATGTTTTAATCATGTAAAGCACTTTACATTGTTTTTGTACTGAATTGTGCTATACAAATAAATTTGCCTTGCCTTTCAAGCAGAAGGAAAATTGGTACATCAGATGGAGTCTGTTGGTCATTGGTTTCACCTCATCATGGCGGACATGGATTTAAAAAATGACTTGCAGTGTTTTTATTTTTATCTTTTACTTTAGAAAGCCAANTGGTTGCTCAAGTTTTAGCTGGAATACCCTCTATTTCATCTAGGGAAAAAAAGCAAAAGTACGCAGTTTTTGTCTTTCTGGATTGGAAAAAATTTCTGTGTTCCGGACTCCGTACAGGATTTTGGTGTTTGATTTATCAGTTCACTCCATTCGTGAAACAAATAAAAAATGTGATACATTACAGATTCTACTGCTGCTGTGATTGGCTAAAAGCTCGATATGGGAGGCAGGTGCCACTTGGTGTTTACTCAAACAGCTCGAGGAATTGTACTGAATGTCTCTCCCTTTTGCGAACACTTTCCACAGGAGCCTTTCCAGATGGCTGTGTAGAATTCAAATTGAACAACATGGATCAATATGGCTTATTGATCCAATTCACACCAAACAAGAAACCTGCAAAAAATGTCACCAATTTCAAATGCTTTTGCTCTCCTTGAAATTCCCTTGGCAAGTGAAGGCCTATGTTTTAATCATGTAAAGCACTTTACATTGTTTTTGTACTGAATTGTGCTATAAAAAAAAATTGGTACATCAGATGGAATCTGTTGGTCATTGGTTTCACCTCATCATGGCGGACATGGATTTAAAAAATGACTTGCAGTGTTTTTATTTTTATATTTTACTTTAGAAAGCCAAACAAAGCTGTTGGTGTCTCTAGGATCATCAGATACCCAGAGATGGAATCAGTATGGTGAATACCACCACATCCTACAGAGGCTAGATCTGGATGATGGTTGCTTTCAACATACTTCCACCTATCCATGACCCAGTTCAAGGCCCTGCAGCGATAAATCACCCGAAAAACAGATGGTTAGGTGAGGTCGCATTCTTGAGCTCAGATAGGAGCAACGGGAAACCAGTGCGAGAAAACGAGCAGAGAAAAAAACAAAACAGGGTCCAGTATGCCAGCCATGTCACCCTCTAGAACTAAGAAACCACAGAGGTAGTTTGGAGGATCCCTCTGTCGAATCACCAAACTGGAGGGGAACTAGTGAGAGAAGCTGAACGGAGAAGCCCACTGGAGAATCAGCGGGAAGAGGCTACAGCTGGCGGGGCTAGCTATAGAAGCTAACTGCTAAGCCACAGAGGAGCCCAGTGGCAGTCTGCTGGGAAGATAAAACACTGAAGGCAGGATGAAGATTATGGCTTCCTGGGAGTAGGACAGTGGTAACCTTGGGAATTCTCCGGCAGCGGTACGGAGAAAAGGCATCTGAGCTGAAAGTAAGAAACAATTAATTTAGTGCTAATTTTTTTAATTCCTAAAAAACACCTTAAATCCTCCTAAGAGCATTCACAGCTCATCCTTTGTCACCATTATTTTCTCTATCTTCCATTTTTTATGAAAAAAAAAGCATGTCTTCACTGCACTCCTTCACTTTAGCTCATCTAGACCCTGACTGTGTTTCTAAACAAGAATGTGAACAAAAGTTCAGATTTTTCAACCTCATATTGCAGGTGAGGCAGTGATCAAAAGTCACCAAAATTGTGCCATTCGCCTCCCTAAATTTTCCACCTTAGCTTTGCTCCGCTCCAGATCATCCTTCTACACAGATAAATCATGGGAATCCCTTGCTCCAGCTAAGGAATTTGTATAGATGTAAACACCACTGAATCAATGTTTAGAAAAGATTAAGTGGTACGAACAAAAAATCTTTCTAAGGTTAAAATACATGAGCAAAATAGGGGGTCATAAAAATAAACAAACAAACAACAACAAAAAAACTTGTCACCTTAAGCTGCTTCCTTTAACTTTATTTTTATTTCTTTAAAAAAATTTTTTTAGGTTTTATGTTTAATCCACACAGAGAAACATATAATCAAGGCCAACATTTTGGAAAAACAAGTAAATGCAAATTCATAAGTGAAGATAATATGAAATACTACGCATACAAACGCAGGGAGAAAGATTTTATACAGCTACACCTTTAACTTGAAGAAAAAATACCAGTATTCAGATTTGTCCTTCAGGCTAAAACATTCTCTATGGATGTGTTTTTGTTTTGTTAGTTGTTTTAAGTAACAGTGAGTACATTGCTATATGTGATTACCTGCCGTTTTCAAAGAATTTAGGGTTTGTTGCCATGCAACCTATCCTTTTCTTCTCCTGCTGAAAAAATAATGACAGGCTTCGTCTACAGAGAGCAAAGAAAACTCTCTTTTCTCATCCTTGAGCAAAAAGATTACAAACCACATATTTATTTGCTGCATATTGTGCAGGTGAGTAAGCCATGTTCTCAGCTGAATGAGCTGCTTCATTTCCTATTCCCTGCCTAATAATGACTAAATTACTTTTCAAAAATTCCATGGAAGATTTAACTAAATTTTTCTACATCTTTAGTATATAAGGGGGAGGCATAAACTAAGCAACACTTTTATGGCTTTTGTCTAGACAATAAGAAATATAGGTTTAAAGACTTTTGTTTATTGAAATCTGCAAGATAGGAGAAAACAAAGCTGGGATGGCAGCTGAAGTGGACCAAGCAACATGACACTAACTACACTTTACAAGACAAGAATGAAGAATTTAAAGTCCTGAATTGGCCTTGATCACACTGAGATAATGTGCAGGGACTTGAAACAGGCTGTTTATAAAACAAACATCTCATGTGTGTCGTAACTGAAAGTGATGAGCAGGATATAATTTCCTCTGAGTGGTTAGATATTGATTAATGGTTAGAAAAGATGGTTAACAGAAGTAAGGGCTGAGAGAAACAACATGTTTCTCAGAATTCAATAAATGACTACATTTGGTATAATAGTGTCATGATCTTGGGGCTGATGACTGGCTTGATTTTCATTCCATTCATCTGCCTAGCTCTTCCCAGTTTCCCATCACCGTTCATTTGTGTCACCTGCTCCAATCTCTATTTAACCTGCCTGCTTTCAGTCATCAGTACCAGCTTATTCGATTCTTTGGTGAGAGTTCTCTAGCATACCTGATTGTGATCTCATTGTCTGATCCTGACTTGTTTTGCCTTTGGAACTCTGAGCTTGCCCGTTCCTGTTCTGATCTGTTTGCCTGACCTGTCTTTGAACTCCTGCTGGATTCTGGCCATTTACCAAACCTGGACCTGCTTCCTGACACCGACCTTTTTCTTCTGTACCTCTTCAGATCTCTGATCGTCTGGCCTGGACTCGTGAACTACTTCAACACCAGCTCTGTATTGTCCTGCCTTTCTTCAGCGTTTGGAACTCTCTGGGCAGTATTCCTTGCGTCGGCAGCCAGGCGGCTGGAATCCACCTCTTCTCTGGGCATAGACTGAACTTTAAGACTGTCATGATGCGTTGGTTTCACTAGCCCATATGCAGACTCACAGACACAGAGGGAGGATAAAAGTCCAATATTTATTGGAAACCAGAGGAATCACAGGATCAGCGCTCAGACAGGCATGGTGGCACAGGCATGTGGTGGCACACGATCCAGCCCAGAGAGGAGTTCACACACAGCTTAAATAGGAAGCCTCCTTAATCATGAGCTGATGAGAATCAGCTGAGCGTTGAGCATCAGCTCCCCAGGCTTGGATCCACAGCGCCCTCTGGTGGGCAAAGTCCCGGATCCTGACAAAGACCAGGTTAGTGACTCACATGTTTATAATCATCCCCTGTCAGATTAATGTGGTCACTAACCTGTGTTTCCCTCCTGCAGATGTTGCTTCCTTAGACATCCTGGCCGACCACTGCAAATCCATTGTTTTTAAATTAACACTTTTTCAGTAATCTTACTGTCTGTCTTGCCTTGAATACTGGGTCCTCTGTTCTGAGCCATCACAACCAAGTCTCCTTTTGCTTCCATTTCACAGCCTCTTTTGGTTTGGTCTGTTGCATAAAACAAAGTTTGTGGTTAAAACATAATACTTCTGACTTTGAGCCTCAGTTTCATACGTCCTGGAGATGAATAGTGTAGCTTTATCATCTAATCTTTTTGTGTGTTTAATTTTATGAAATTCACGTAGAAAAGTTAATATTGTTAATTGTAGAATTCCTCATTAACAGCATGGTTTAATTGCTTAAGTCTAACAGACATGCAACAAAATGCTAATTTCATTGCTGAAAGGCATAATAAAAGGCTCAGGATCACAATACATTTGTAAAAGTCAAAAGATCGAAATAACACTGAATGTCAAGAAACAAAAACACTTCTTCTTACAACCCACCTGCTGCTCACATGTTGACATGGCAACCTTTCTTCTACCCGCCTTGATATGGGTTTACTTCAGGAGTAAAATATTCTTTATAGAACATTGGAAAGGAAGCTCCAGAACTAAAGCACTATGTTTGTGTAAAGTGATAACCAGGAACAGAGAGAGAGAGTGTAAAATGTAAAAATGGAGGTGCTTAAATTACACAGATGAAATGAAAGATATACAGTTCCTATGTGACATAGCACATCCATATTCCATCTGTGATTAACCAAAATCGCTTTAGAAAGAGGTGAGTACGTTTGTTTTACAGATAGAAAGTTAGAGGAAAATCAGAAAACTGAACTATCACAAAGAAAGAAGCTGAGCTGATTCTGCCGATACCAACCTTTGTTTCCACTGGTTTCCACTGGCCGAGGACTCAGTCTACCCTGCCTTTCATCCAGATGATCTCCCCTAGCTTCTGTTGCCAAGCACCCCCATGAGGGGTTTCAGATAAGCCTGTCAAGCCTGACCTGGCTGGTTCCTGGAGGAACAAGATCCATTTCTGCTAAGCCCTGTGTGTCTCTTTGCTTGCTGATTGTTATCCATAGCGTTCTCACCTGTCAACTTGTTCACCTGGCTGTTCCTCTGGAAATTAATTCCTGTTTGTCCACTGGTTATCTTCCAAAGAATCCTCAACAGTTGGTTTATCCTATAAGGAGTCCCTACAAATGTTTATCTTCCTATTGATTTGAGTGGTTCTATTATAGTATCTTTTGTTTTCTTAACAAAAAACAGTAATGCTCCTGTTACATATCCATTAGGGTTATTTTATAGGGTTGCAACTAACTACTTTATGAATACAAAATAGTGTGTTTTTTACATTAGATTTTTTTTTTCTCCACCGAATGAATGTTCTCAAATTAAAAGTTTAATTTTCTTTAATTTTCAATGTGAGATTATGCTTTTGGAATCAAAGAGTTTTTGGTCAAACACTTCTTTGTCTGCCAGAATGCACAAAGTTTTATTCAAAGGTATATATTTTCACAAAAAGCTTAATGGTGAAACGGTATTGCAACTTACTGATTTTTTTTTTTTATTGACATGATGTACTGTATCACTTCCTCTTCCATCTAGAGCAGTTTTTTTGGGATAGTTAAAAACTAATTCAATTAAAACTGTGGAATTTAAACTGTCGATAAAAAAATAACATTATCATGTGAGAGTTTCTACTTTGTTCTGTTATTTGCACTGTTGGATTGTTGGCTTGTCTAGTAAAGGTGGTTAGAGGCTATTTCAGGAAGCTCAGAGGGGCTTGGATTTGCAGGTGACGTAACTATGATGCTTGATGTATTTAAGAGTTCTACAAATAAAAGTAATTAATCTGCCCCAGGAAATCATTTGTAGAATCTCTTTTTACCACAATAACACTTGTATGTCTTTGGGCTTAATGACAATAATAACAACAATAATAACAACAACAATAAAACTCATTTTCTTTTTCTTTACAAATTTCTACCTTTTAAGTGGACTGCTACTGATTAATGCCTGGAACATTCTCAGGTTATTATGTTCATTGTTTGATTGATTTTTTTGTTTCAGTTCAGTTGCACACAAAGGAAAGACTCCCGTATATACACAATGCACATTAAAAATGAATGAATAAATAAACATACAATACAGAAAAAGAGGTACATTGAAAAGGAGTGGGATGAAGAAAACGTATTTACTTCCAACCCCCCCTCAGTCCACAATAATCATGTGGTTGCTTCCATTACCACCAGAATGTTGATTGTGTCACAAAACAACTTACATCAATAATATGTACTCGTACTCGTCGTCTCCCGCTTTATCCGGAACCGGGCTGCGGGGGCAGCAGACTACGCAGAGACTCCCAGACTTCCCTCTCCGCTGACACCTACTCCAGCTCTGTTGGGGGAAGCCCTAGGTGCTCTCAGGCCAGCCGAGAGACAGACCAAACCAGCGCATTCAGCTCGGCAAAGAACTCATGCTCTTCCTCAACACTGAAGTCCTCAGAAATTTTTCTTTCGTTGTTTC